GGCAGTCGTCCTGTAAATCATTTAACCAAAATTAAAAAAAACAGATAACTTGTTGAAATAATAAGATGGCAGAAACAGGTAGCCCAGATATTCCATCAGGCAAGCATACAAGTAGTACATATTAAGTGTTGTGAACCAGTTGGCCCTTACTGAATCAGTGAAGAACGAAAGATAATGAGATAATTTGTCTTTCACAGACGAATTCAGAAGAATATTATAAATAATTAAATTTCAGTCTGATATATTATAATTTCAATTTATAGATAACGTAGGTTTGAATTGTTATATAATTGAAAACTGAGGTATTGACCTGTCTTATGAAATGAATATCTAAAAGTGTTTATATTTGATACTAATCAGTGGATGGAATCTAGTTCAGATGTTTTATGCAATTTTGAACTCTTATCTGAACGTACTTAGGTATTAGGGAAAATGATTTAACGCAAGAAGTATTTAAAAGTCAAATCGAATAATCTATCCAAGGAATCCAAGTAACAATAAAAGTAGTTCAGTTTAATAAAAATAGTTTAACTGTTTATCGCATACGTGGGAACGCAATACTGTTTAACGAAGAGTCACATTCGACTGTAATTTTATTTTTCTTATGGTGAAAAAAACTGTTTTGCGTTATACTACTTACAAAAGTAAAGTAGCCTGTATTTAACAAATAAATATGGTAAATTATTTTTATTTTTACTTCTATAACTATGATAATTATTATGACCAATAGTCATAACTGATCACATGTCTTGATGAAAATAATATCAAGAATATCGAAATTTGTATCTAGACATGTAGACTAGGATGAGATGTTGATAGTTCTATAAAATGTAGTAGGTTGAAATGAATTGTTAGCATAAGCGAATGACTAGTATAAAAGCAAGGACAAGAGCTGATAGAATCCAGATATCTAAAATCAAACGGAATGAAATATAACAAGAAATTCTTTGAAATATTAACCACATTCTAGTTTTGATAGAGAATGCCTTAAGGTGAACCACAAAATTCCATTCTCTCTTGATCAGTTAATTTGTAAAATTATATTCCTATAGATTTTATTGAGATCGACTATTATTCAACATGTATGTAAACATATTGGACAGACTAAAGTAAATCGAAACACTAACTAACAAGTCTCTTGACAGTAGTAACTGAACGTTTTTGAACATACGTAATGTAATCTCATAAGTTTTGTAAAGAAAATTGTTGGTTAGAAACATGTATTAACACTGTATTAATGCCTTCATTCATTGATGTTTAATAAGTGAAGAGGGGAATTCAGGTAGTCCTTCTTAGTAAATGTTTAGTGTGTGCTACTGATGTCGACAGATATAAGTAGTATGTATCAGCAGTTGGAAGTGAATTGCCTGGAGGTAGAAGGTTAGGAAGATGAAAGAAAAGAGAACGCGAGTAAAGAATCATTGTTGTGGAAACGAAAGATCAATGAAGTCTGAGACGATTGACTGACATTTTGTAAATAAAGTATTTACTGTATGGTTCTCAGATTTTACTAAGATATTCTATAATTTTGTATTCAAATACATTCAATTGTCTCCATTTGTGTTCTCGTTCACTACTAATGTAGGTACTAACCGGCTACTCTCATTTACTTCTCAACTTGTGTAGATATTAGTTAAGTAGTGGTCCCAATTGTATAATGTCGAAAAAATCAGAGGAAGTTCAACAGATTTCATTAAATTAATTGTAGACGATTGTATTTGGTTAGTATCAATCGAAAAATTATAAAATTTGCACAGTGGTAATTATGTAATGGCACATCTTTGAGAATAAACATGATAAGCTATAGAGTTCAATTCTCTCAAATTTTTTATTGAGATCATGTTAGACCATCATTGAAAACCTGGAGGCACTGGACGGCCACTTCGTCCTATTGTAGGACTCCTCAGCAGTGCGCATTCATTATCCTGCTAGTGGGATTCTAACCCAGGGCCTTCAATTTCACTTGCGAACACTTAACCTCTAGATAACTGAGCCACCATCCATCTCTCAAATTTCTTGATTAAAAATTCTTCATAATATTTCAAATCATACATTTCTGGAAATGACAGAAACCATATCCTGTCCATGTACTTAATACATACGCAAATGTCAGCATTTTACCAACCAAAATGAACTCAGAAATTATAGTAGTAATTTATATTGTTGACTCCTTTAAAAGAATATCTACGAAACTCGGAGTTTTAAATGAGATTCAGTAAATTAAATTAAATCGAACATTTAGATTAGCATCATTGAGTAAATAGAGCACTCGATCTCTTGCCAGATTCGAGTTAGATTTAGCTTCAGTAATAGACAAGCTTTCTAGAAACTTATGATATAAGTAATTCTATAAGTATCTAACATTTCGGTTTGACCTTATTTGTCTTAGTTGAGTAAAGTAGATAGAGGTACTCAGTCAAGTACCAGAACAGTTTCGATATCACATCATATTTGTCGAGCTACTTATACGTACTTCACACTTAACCAACTATTCTATATCCCAAACATTAAGTTCGGTCGTCTTGCACATATACTATTCCATCTAAGTACATAATGTTCTCTTCTTGGTAGCAGTATCGTTAACATTTGCCTCTTAAAAGCTATATCAAAGGTTCATGTTTGAGAGTTGATACATAGATTAGGAAGTAGGTGTTAATGAATAAGTAAAATGAAGTAATGCCATGACTTTTAGTAAAGTAACTGTTATGTCCTTTGCTCTGTCTACTCACTTTTTGTGCTGAGTATACTTATCTAATCCAGTTTAAGACCTTGGCGCGATAGACTGACCGACCTAACCTTGAGGCTAGTACGCATGAATTCGAAATGGGGTAGAGAGAAGATAACTATTCCATCACCTGATCGGCTGACAAGCACGCGAATGAGAGAAGACAAGACATTTGGAACACTACTCGATCTATTCCTGATATCCTGATTTCCTCTTCGGATTAGCGTAAAAAGGTACATGAATAAATAGGTGACTAACCCGACCACAACGTACAACAATTAAGAAAAATACATTTATGTCCAAAGCGGGGAATCAGCGTAGAAAATATGGTGCAAAATATTAAATTACAAAAGCTTTGGAACAAAAAAGGATATGGCACTGAATCATACATCGAACGAAAGCTTATGTTCTGTAGAATAGATAAGGGACAAAAATAAATGTTAGTGTTTTACAAACTTTGAATAAAATGAAATAATGTCCCGAAAAATAGCTTTCGTAGTTTTTCAGGGCTTCTCTTTTCCCTGTTCACATCAGTAACAGTTGAAACTTGAACGATAAAACGAGTTTGCAAAAACTGACAAATTTCTTACGGTACCATTTTTTGGAGCTCGTCAAAGTATGAAGTGTGTATGTGAGTTATAAGATAAAACATATACAGAAAACATTCATTGCCAGGAACCACTGAGATCGATTGGACGAAATTATTTTGAAGGCGTGTTACTTGCTTGGAATTAGCGCAATAATCTAGACTTGGAAGTTTCAATAAATTTCAGGGATGTAACATAATACTCAGCTTTTTTTGGATGAGTGTTCCCTTAGTACTTTTTGAAGAATAAATTGGAATTACAAAAAATAAATTGTAAAAGCCAACAGAGAAGTTCATACTGGTTGGGCGAGTATTTTAATGTTTGTTTACTTTAATCCATTACCAATAATAACAATCTAATGGTAAATACTGACAAGACTAACCTTCAAAATGCCTATTTGCATACATCACTACACAAAAACTATTACTATTGAGAAAGAGATTATATTCAGCAATACGCAATGGTACTAAGCCAGGGAGCCGTAATGATTCAACTTTACTAGCATTAGAGTTGAGGGAACTCATAAAACGTTTGGGTACTTTGTTATTCGCATAAATGTTCAATATAATGCTGTAATTGTGTGACAAGTAATTGCTTTAAGTTTCTGGACTAACTGCAGTCTGAAGGTTTATTTCAACTAGGAGAGTGGTAATAATATGCATAAAATAATTGTAGGTAATTCTCTTGAACAATAAACGATGGAAATCATTATAGATATCAACACTGATTTATCACAACAAAGATGAAATGAATAAATGAAACGGCGATATATTTGCAAGCTAAAAAGACATATATTTTTCGGTAAATATTTGAATATGAGTTTTATAAGTTGTTTTAACTGAATTTGAGTAAAAGCTTGTTCTAAGTCTCTGTGACTATAATTGAATTAAAAATCGTATTCCCTGGGACATCTGATTCAGTAGTGTGGACGACTGCTAGATTAATTGATAGTAATCAAAATCAACTATGCTCTCCCATTAATCCCCATCGGTTAACCTTTTTATTAAGTTCGTCAGGTACTAACCTATCCTTTGAAATCTCGTTAATATTCACTATTAACTATATATCCACAACTGGTCACAAGTCAAAGATAATTCTTCTTTTTAAGTCTGAAACAGACATTTCCGAAATCTAAAACTCCTAAAGAGTCACACATTTATAAACAGATTCCTTAGGAACAACTCATCATCTAGAGAAAAATACTGAATGTTGTTTTACCAAATATGGAATGAAAGTATTTTTTTCCAAATGATATGGGCTATACATTTTAAATTTGTTACTTGTTATGTTTACTATGAAGAAGATAATATCGTCTAAGCCTGAAATCATTACAAGTAGTTGAACTTGATTAAACAGACAGAAACTATCCTAGTAAAGTCTATATATGCTTAGTTACTGATTGTTAATAAGAGAAATATTGTCGATTCATGTGAAACGTTCTGAATAATGTAATTTTATCATTGAATTTACGTACTTAATATAGTAATGTACTAAACAGTAGTTAAGCCTATTAATCTTAAACATTTCTATATATATATATATATATATATATATATATATATATATATATATATATATATATATATATATATATATATATATTAATAGCCAGTTATTAAATTTCTTCTAATAGAACTCATCATATTCTAATAACAAAAAATTGATTAAGAAATGTATAAGTAATAAAGTATTCATGTAATTTATATATTTGTATTTACTAATTAATTGTCTACATTGCTACAGATATGAACTGGGTTATTTTTTTGTTTGTTTTGTTTTACTACTGACATTGTCCAAATTTATTCCCAGCGAACATTCAAACACTTATGGAGCTTTAGTTTTGTTCATTATTTGTGCAGTATATTTTTCTGTACTTCTTGATATATTAATAGTAGATTTCTCTGTAGTTTTAGTTGCACTAGGTTTCTGTGTACTTATAGTAGGTTGCTGTGTAGTTCTAGTTGCAGTAAGTTTCTGTGTACTTATGGTAGGTTGCTTTGTAGTTCTAGGTGTAATAGTAGATTTTTCTGTAGGTTTAGGTGTAGTAAACATAGTAGTTAAATCAGCAGTTGATAATTTATCATATTGTGCTTTAATAAATGATGCTTGTTCATTCAACGTACGAAACTTGCACAAATCCGTATAGTATTTTACGACTTGTTCAGTATTAATTCCAGTAGGTTGACTTTGAATAACTATGATAATGTGTAAAGGGGAAAAAAAACAGATGAAAAATAACTAAAACTGGAAATTTGTTTTAATCATATTGTTGACATTTTTAAATAAAGATAATTTATTGAAAGGAAAGCTCACTTTAATTATTTATTGTTAGTGTTTTCTTTTAGATATGTGAACATAAAGAAAGTGGAAGAGATTAAATGAAATATATATATATATATATATATATATATATATATATATATATATATATATATATATATATATATATATATATACACTAAGATAATATTGTAACATGCAAGTTATATGAGAAAACAATGGAATACTAAAACAATCAAGTTTATGAATTCATACTAAGTATTCTTGTTACTTGAAATTTAAATGAATTGAAATGAATTCCATAACGGATAAATTTCAGATCAAAAAATTGATCACTAATTGTTATTGATATAGTTTTGTATTCAATAACTGATGAAGATAAAGGAAAATATTTATGAATTGATATGACAAAGAAATTTAAAACATTCCCGTATTTCGACTCGCTATCATTATTATTTCAAGTAATTCATAAAATTTTGAGTTATAAAACTTAAGTAGATTTTAACAGGGATAAAAGAAACCGATCAATGATTTAGATATCATTACCATCATTCGAGTTAATGATATTAAAGAAATAAGCTGTTCATTAGGTTGTTTGTAGAAAAATAATATTTTGGTGTTTTGAAATTTAGAATAAGGCACTTCTTCAAAGAATAATATAAATGTAAGTGATAAAAGAACTAGATAGAATTTTAAAAAAATTGATTTCATATGGAGATAAATTTATATAAGCCTTTGTTATAGCTAGTAAAGATGATTGTATGTAATTGTGTTATATATCATTGTGTATATGTGGGTGATTGGAACGAAATATGAAACTTACACTATGACACAATGATTACTGTTGTATATGTATTTGTAGAGAACAGACCAATTTCTAACTGAAGAGGAAATTAGGGAAAGATGCTCAAAGTGGATACACATACATTACGGAAATCACTAAACTGCATCACGAGGCAAGCCCTAACTTGGAATCCTGAAGGGAAGAGGAAAAGAGGAAGGCCAAAGAATAAATTATGTAAATAAATAGAAGCAGATGTGAAAAGAATGAATACCAAGTGAAAAGAACTGCAAAGGATTGCCCATGACAGGGTAGGATGAAGAGTGCTAGTTGACGGCCTATACTCCTCCAAAAGGGGTAAGAGGTGTAAGTAGTATATATATGCATATTTCTCGTTACGAAATGGCTATATATTAACAATATTACTTACAAGTTAGTGCTTGTTTTCCACCTTCAATACTGCAACATTCCATAAGATTGGTAAAATTACAATTTGATTGTGATTTAACATATAAAATCTGTATAAATAAACTGACAATTATTAATGAACTTCTTGTTAAATCCATCTAAAAATAATATTATCAAAAAATATAAAATAAAATTTCACATAGCAACTAAATTCTATAAAGAATACAAATAAATATATACATAAAAAAAAGTTAATTTTGTCAAACGTTACCTTGAAAAGGAAAAGATTATTTCTATTTTTAGAAAAGTAAATAAGATGAGTATATGAAGATTTCTCACTTGTAATAAATTTTAGTAAATTAAAATAATACTACTATACTTCACTTATTTATACAATAATTTAACCAATCACTGAATGAATAAAAAAAAGAAAAGAAAAGAAACAAACAATCAACTAATAATCTATTGGATACATTGAACTATTTTTTTTCCTTTTTAAGGAAAAGAAAAACAACAAACAAACAAACTAAAAGAAGAAAGGAAATTTGTCAAATTAATTAAATTTAATGTAATTGTCTTTTCTATCATTAATTATTCTATTAGTCTAAATATACATGGGGTCATTATTAATGAACAATAGAATAATATACATACACTTATTGTAATACAATTCAATTATGAATAAATAAATAAAAATATATTAAATAAAGAGCAAAATAATAACCATTACATTACTTACTTACTTAATTACGCCTGTTACTCCCAATGGAGCATAGGCCGCCGACCAGTATTCTCCAACCCACTCAGTCCTGGGCCTCCTTTTCTAATTTCATCCAATTCTTGTTCATCTTTTTCATGTCTATTTCCATTTCTCGGCGCAACGTGTTCTTTGGTCTTCCTCTTTTCCTTTGGCCTTGAGTATTCCATATGAGTGCTTGCCTTGTGATGAAGTTGGATGCTTTCCTCAATGTGTGTCCTATCCACTTCCAGCGCTTCTTCCTAATTTCTTCCACCGCCGGGATCTGGTTTGTTCTCTCCCACAGTAGGTTGTTGCTAATAGTGTTCGGCCAACGGATCTGAAGTATTTTGCGTAGACAACTGTTAATAAACACCTGTATTTTCTGGATGATGGCTTTCGTAGTTCTTCAGGTTTCCGCCCAATACAGTAGAACTGTCTTGACATTTATATTGAAAATTCTGACCTTGGTGTTGGTTGACAGTTGCTTTGAGTTCCAGATGTTCCTCAGTTGTAAATATGCTGCTCTTGCTTTGCCGATCCGCGCCTTCACATCTGCATCAGATCCACCATGATCATCAATAATGCTGCCCAAATATGTAAAGGTTTTTACATCTTCCAAATCTTCTCCGTCAATTGTGATTGGATCGGTGCATGCTGTGCTGTATCGAAGAATCTTGCTCTTACCTTTGTGTACATTGAGACTTACTGCTGCTGAGGCTGCTGCTACACTGGTCATCTTCTCCTGCATTTGTTGTCGCGTTTGGGATAGAAGGGCCAGATCATCTGCGAAGTCCAGATCGTCCAACTGCATCCTAGATGTCCAGTGTATCCCGTGCTTCCCTTCAGATGTTGACGTCCTCATGATCCAGTCGATCACCAGGAGAAAGAGAAAGGGTGAGAGTAAGCAACCTTGCCTAACACCGGTCTTCACTTCGAACGACTTTGTCAACTGTCCTCCATGCACGATTTTTCAGTGTAATCCATCATATGAACTCTGTATGATATTGACTATCTTCTGAGGCACGCCGTAGTGTCGAAGAAGTTTCCATAGTGTTGTTCTGTCCACGCTATCAAATGCCTTTTCGCAGTCAATGAAGTTGATGTAGAGTGATGAATTCCATTCAATTGATTGTTCCACAATGATCCGTAGAGTTGCGATTTGGTCTGTACACGATCTATCCTTACGGAATCCTGCCTGTTGGTCACGAAGTTGGGCGTCTACGCAGCCCTTCATCCTGTTTAACAATACTCTGTTGAAGACTTTTCCCGGTATTGAAAGAAGAGTGATGATCCTGTAGTTATCACAGTTGCTGAGATCGCCTTTCTTCAGTATTTTGATCAGAAGTCCTTCTTTCCAGTCTGTTGGTACTTGTTCCTCATCCCAAATCTTATTGAAGAGAATGTGGAGTATCCTTGCAGTTACCGCTACGTCTGCTTTTAGTGCCTCTGCTAGAATGTTGTCTGGTCCTGCTGCTTTGCCACTCTTCATTTGTCTGATGGCCATGCTGATTTCTTCAATTGTTGGTGGGCAAACATTGATTAGGAGGTCCATGGGTGCTGCTTCGATGTTGGGTGGGTTCAGTGGGGCTGGTCGATTCAAGAGTTCTTTGAAGTGTTCTACCCACCTGTTTCGTTGATCTTCATTGTTGGTGATTACCTTGCCTTCCTCGCTTTTCCCTAGTCGCTCCGGTTTACGTTGATTTCCAGAGTTTCTTTGTCGTGTCATACAGTTGTCTCATGTTTCCTTCTCTGGCAGCCTTTTCCGCCGTCTTTGCTAGATCTTCCACATATTTACGTTTGTCGGTTCTGATGCTCCTCTTCACTTGTTTGCTTACTTCTGTGTATTCAGCTTGTGCCTTGGCTTTTTCTGCTCTTGTTCGGCTGGTATTGATTGCTGCCTTCTTGTTCCTCCTTTCTTGAATATTGTCCAGTGTATCAACAGTGATCCATTCCTTGTGATGGTGCTTCTTGTGACCCAGGACCTCATGACATGTTGAAGTGATTGCCTCTTTGATCCTCTTCCAGTTGCTCTCCATAGTAGTTCCTTCTCCATTGAGTAGATCATGAAAGGCCTGGAACTTATTGCTGAGGACTATCTTGAATTTGTTGAGTTTGTTAGTATCCCGAAGAAAGGCCGTATTGAACTTTTGTGATATTGTCCGCCCCATTGTCCAGTGCTTCTTGAGTTTCAATTTCATCTTGGCGACCAGCAAGTGATGATCTGATGCTATATCAGCTCCTTTCTTGGTTCTCACGTCCTCTATAGTCCTCCTGAACGTTTTGTTGATGCGAATATGGTTGATTTGGTTTTGTGTAGTGTGATCCGGTGAAGTCCATGTGGTTTTGTGAATGCGTTTATGTGGGAATGTGGTGCCGCCTATGACCAGTTTATTGAGGGCACATAGGTTTGCAAATCTCTTACCATTTTCGTTTCTTTCTCCCAGTCCATGTCGTCCCATGATGTCTTCATATCCAGTGTTGTCCGTTCCAACCTTGGCATTGAAATCTCCCATCAGAATGGTCATGTTTTTTGTTGGGCACTTCTCGATGATTGACTGCAGCCTATTGTAGAATTGATCTTTAGCGTCTTCATTGTAATCGTTGGTAGGCGCATAGCATTGGATGATGTTCATCGAAATACCCTCTTTCTTTGTTTTTAATGAGGCTTTGATGATCCTTGGTCCATGAGATTCCCGTCCTGTAAGTGCATTTTGTGCTTGTTTGGACAGCATCAATGCAACTCCTTGTGTATGTGGAGCTTTTTCTTCTTCATGGCCGGAGTATAACAGAAGCTCTCCTGAAGTTAGTCGTTGTTGTCCAATTTGCGTCCAATGTGTTTCACTGATCCCAAGCACCTCTAGGTTGTATCTTCTCATTTCGGCAGCAATTTGGAAGGCTCTCCCGGTGTCCCACATTGTACGAACATTCCATGTACCTAAATAAATGGTCGCTCTGGTTGTCAGAAGGGGCATCGGCCTCGTAACTTCCGAAGGAATTCGGCTTTCATCATGAGGCGTCATAGTTCTTCTAAATGAAGACCTTCTGACTTCCGGGGCAGAGTTTAAAAGGTTTGAATACTTTTTCTGGTTAGCGTTTTTTTAGCGAGTTAGTTTTCTACGGGATGGGGACTCTAACTCCATGCCCAACCCTCCTCCTTTATCCGTGCTTGGGACCGGCAGTAGCTCCCGGAGGGACTCCAGGTGGAGTTAACCATTACATTAAGAAGTACTAAAAAGTAAACAAATAAATGAATATCAGAATGGGTTTTGTGGAGATTTTTTTTTAGAAATTTCACTGGTTGAAATCATGAGTCAATCGAAGCTAGACCACCATGAAAAACCTGGAAGCACTGGACGGCCATTTCGTCTTAGTATGAATATAATTTTAAATTAATGTTAACAATGAATACATTTTCTTATCTAACAAATTACCAATGAGTGTAAATGATAATTCGTTTGAATAATAGTAAATATAAATAAGAATTATAAATAAAATAATAATCAAAACAAAATATATACAGAAACAAAATTGTATAACTAATTTTCATAAGTTTAATAGTTGAGATCATAAGTCAAACCTGGAAAAACTGGGTGACCGTTTCATCCTATTGTGGGACTACTCAACAGTGTGCATTCACGATCCTGCCACGTGAGATATTGAACCCAGGAGACTATCGGTCTTGTGTGTGAATGCTTAATCTCTAGACCACTGAGCCGGTATCCAACAGTGTTAATGTCTAAATTTAACTAATCCACAAAATTGAGCGATACATCCATCACTGTCATCAGTGAGTTACTATCTCACAACAGATCCGGTTGAATTTCATTGGTCACTGCTTCTCATTAGAACTCTAGTAAATACCTCTTAAAGTCAATCACAAGTGAGAATATGTTGATTAGTGTCAGATTGTAATCACAAACTATTTGACGGTTAGTCGAAGATCTTAAGCTAAATCTATGGAAAGTTATTCACAATTTGATCTCTTGTCATTATATTTATTTAGCCTTTATAAAATATATGCTTTTATATGAATTAGTGCATTATGGATCACAAAGATTTGATTATTATGCATCAATTCATATAAATAATCTTCTGAGTCATCATAAAAGTGATTTATTTAAAACACGATTCATTGATAATAAATACAAGTTCCTAAATTTTGCACACGTACACATAGTTTGTATTTATTAAGAACAGAATGTTCAATATCTCACAGCTATGATCTATTATGAATGCGGCACCAATTGTTATATCTGGTCGTTCCTAATTGTTATACCGAAATCGCTTATTACTTATACTCGTAAAAATGAGAGACCACTGGGATTCTCACGACGTGAAAGTAAGAAAACCGTGATTGGTACAAGTGAATATTTATTAACCCTTAAAACATGACGACGACTTTAGTCGAAAACACACTCATTTATTTATTGATTTATAGTTAGGATGAAATCATATATATGGGAAATACTCAGAGTTTTAACAAATCGCATGCTACATGTCAAAGTTCATGCTAATTTAATACAAGAATGTCGTATAAAATTCACTTAGTATTGTTTGCTTGAATCTTTCCATTGACGTTAAGAACTGCAATTGATCAGTTTCTTATTGGCATATATGCATAC